AGGGGTTTCCATCCATAGCAGGACAGAGGGAAGGGACCATCAGGAGCTGGTCACAAAGGAGCATGTGCTAGTTAATATCCCAGTGCAGACTATGGGTCAGAAAGTTGGGTTCACCAGTCAGATCAGCCCCTAACATCTGTGAGGCCAGTTGAGGTCAAGAGCACCTAAATATTTACAAGCTATAATTTAGGTACATCCAAGTTCATCGACATCCCCTGTACCAGCAGCTCCTTGCAGCCCCACAGGCCTGAGGGTGCATTTACCAATAGATCATGGGCTTGAAGTGGCAGGGGCAGGAGGGACATAGGTTCCTGGTGGGCACACCCTCTTGGATCCAACTACTCCTTCCTCTGTGGCTGGAGGGGAGCGCTGGACACCATTTATTAGCTAAATATACAGATACTTCTTACCCGTGATATTTTCTCCTCAAATCGGCTTCATGAGGTGGGTTTTACAAGATGCCAATTTTTCCAGGGAAGAAAGTGAGGTTAGGGAGGAAAACAGACTCGTCCACATAGCTGGAAACTGGCAGTCTTAGGATTTTGAGCTCCAAGGCCGATCCTGACTCTCCTAGGCCAAGCTGTGGCCCCTGCTGGAAGCAAACCACTCCTCGGCCAACTCATGGGACTGTCCTCCAGCCTGAGAACAGAAACTCCAGATGCTGCAAGGCCCCAGACAGAGATGCTTTTGACCTGGAGCCCTGCTTTTACTTTTGCTCCCCAATGTCAGAAAGGGCAGGACAGGTTCTTCTCTGTGTCCATCTGACTGGTGCCCGGCAGCACTAGAGCTGGGATCAAATCCTGGTTCAACCATTTAACTCACTCTGTGACTACGAGTCTCTGTTTCCTCACTGGTAAAATGAAGATTAAAAATGGGCTTCAGTGGGGCTGGCTGGTTAGCTCAGTTGATATGAGAGCTGTGTTATAACACCAAGGTCAGGAGTTTAGATCCCCGTACCAGCCAGCCACCAAAAAAAAAAGCGGGGGAGGGGGCTTAAGAGAAAAGGAAATTAAGAAAATAAGTCCATTTACAATAGCATTCAAAAGAATAAAATACTTAGGAATAAACTTAACGAAGGAAGCAAAAGACTTGTACACTAAAAACTACAAAACATAGGCCGGCCCGGTGGCGCACTGCTACAGTGCGCTGCTTGGGAGCGCGGCGGCACGTTCCCACCGAGGGTTCGGATCCCACATACAGACCGGTTCCCGCTCACTGGCTGAGCGAGNCCCAACATCCTGGCTCTTCCTACTTCTCTGCCATCTGTCCAATCCCTGGTCCCCCTGTGACTCCCACTCTCTTGGCCCTCATCCCAAACTTGAAATCACCCAAAACGTAACTAGCCAGGTCTCCTCTGGGCCCTGGCTTACACCTCCACAACTGTACTGATGATGTTTCCTCTTCCTAGAACATTCTTCCCTCCTTCTCATTGCTGGGTAACTGCCAGACATCCTTTAAGATTGCTCAGGTCTCATTTCCTCCAGGTACTTTTTCCTAAGCCTCCTCGCCTCCTGCGCACCCTGTCCCCCCCCCCC